CTGCCGGTAAGGAGAGTTATTGCCACTCACGCATACGCAGTTCATACGTGCTCGGCTCGGATTTGCGGTGTGTTCCAGTGCGCGAAGTCGGCAAATACGCAGGAGAGTCCGGCGACGCAACAGTCGGTGTCGGCGTCGGCAACTTCTCAGGTGACTGGCCGGTGTATCTGGGCCTTAATGCTTCATGTGCTATTGGTGCCAAAACACTTCAAGAAAGACCATCTTGGCTGCTCATCACAAGTACATAGACTGAAAGTCATTCATATACTTTATGGTACTATTAGACTTCTTCAATACGCCAGCTAATGCTCGCACCACACCACAGTGAAAGCCTAGAGCAAGATTTTAAAAATATACTGTATGAACTTATGTTATAACTCTTTGCATTGACCATGAAACACAAGGGAGGACATTTCAAAAGCAATTTCAAACTCTTTGTTCTATAATGTCAGCTTGTTTGTGGTGGAGCCTCTTCATCTCGTGATAATGCTAAAAGCTGATACACAAAGTGTCCGTGATGAAAGAACTTCCCCTGGGACGTGAGAGCAGTCTGAAATTGTTTTTCTGCATGCATTTGCCAGTAATGGGTGAATAAAGGTGATGTAGTGAGCAGACGTATCTGTGGTGGTTGTTTTATGGATGTGCAATATGGGAATCAGGCTCAAACTGTGAAATATGAATATAATGCAAAATATGAGCGTAGTTAGCCTGAACTGCACTTTAAGCAAGTCTGTATTGCATATCTTTCCCATTGCCATGTATCTGTAGTTTGTTTTGTTAATGCTATAGTGTAATGTTTAGTAATAAATAGTTCCTCCTCAAGTATATTGGGTACTGCATCAATGATCTCCTTTCCATTTCTGTATTTATCTGTATAGTTGCATTTAATATTTAGTGTAGTAAGGATTTAAAGCAGTAATTATATCAATATTTTACTTTAGATTACGTGTTTTAGCATATTTAAACTCATAGTTTTGGTTTTAGAAACCTTATTGTTTTCTTACACTTATTTCACTCTCGAAGTGTACTTTTTTTTACACAGCAAGTAGCTATTTTCAGGCTCAAAACTCTAATACTTGCCCGGCAACAACAGTGTTAGAGATGGTCCAACATTTAGCAGGTAAAGACCCACACGTTTCCCTTCGGAGGTGGTGGGGACCAAATCAAAATAAAGTGGCCATAAAGAAGAAGAAAAAGATGGACCTTTATTAATCCCCCGAGGGGGAAATTCAGTGTCGTACACACACGCGCGTTTTTATACAGGTAATACAGTACACACTTTTTACAACATGCATATACATACATGCGCAAGTCAGCAGTTGGGGGTTAGGTGCCTTGCTCAAGGGCACTTCGGCAGTGGCCCAGGAGGTGAACTGGCTCCTCTCCACCAGTCCATACTCCGTATTGTTTTGGTCCGATCGGGACGTGAACCGGCGACCCTTCGGTCCAAAGTCCAATCCCCTACAGACTGAACCACTGACTTCAAATTAAAGCTTATGTTTCTCTCTACCAACTGGGTGTCAGACACGCTTGTCAAGCAAGACGAAGCATTTAAAATGTAATAAAATGTCCGTGTTTTGTTCACTGCTTTTTAACAAAGCTGCCCAAGACCAAATCTCAGTACTGACGTTATAGCACTGCAAACTCTGGATCTTGTAAAAACAAAACAAGTAGGTGAGCAGCTAAAAATAATTTCTATTTGTCGTCCTCCTGACAGATAAGGGCCATGTTATTACAGATGACTGTTGGTCTCATGGCAGTCAGGTCAACTCGGGAACCTCGTCTGTCTCTGCAGCTCTGCAGCTGAGTGTAGAGCAAATTAATTATTCCCTGGCTCTGAATCAGCCAATGGCTCAGCGCGGCGATTTAAGATCATGCTCTCTCTTTTCTGCGTCGCGGTTTCCTCTGGTCTACTAGGTACCCAATCACTGTTCCTCCTGAAAATCACGGAACAAATAACACCGAGAAAAACAGTTCTTCTGAGCTGTGATACCAAGCCCTGCTGCCTGAGTAATTCATCTGTGCCTGCAGCGTTCATTTGCATAGTGTTTACGCAAGTGAGCACTCACTGAACCACCTGCTAAATCTTTGTGATTACCACTGTGTTCTGCTGAGATAAAACAAAAGGTCTTTACATGACTTAATGGTGCATGAAGGGGATTGTACCCACTGACCATAAGGCTGTTAGTCTGTCTATATTGCAGAGGGACATTTCCCCACTACTTCAACAGACATTAATGCATTGGAGATAATAAACATGATTAGATTGTTTATCAAATATTAAACAAGTGCATTTAAATGCACTACTACTTGTAATCATTTTGTCTGTGTTTTTTATAGAGGAAGTTTCTAACACATTAAGCCACAACCACTCCATCCTCTTTGCTGTGCTGCCATTCCCTGCAAAGGAGGGTAATGTCCTGAAAATATGATGAGAAAGAAACATGATGCCGTACTCTTCTACACTCTGCCTACTAACTGTTTATCCCTCTGATGTTGTTTCATTGCTGACGGAGTCTTTGTTTAATTTAAAGTCTTTTGAAAATGCATTCACGAACACCTTTGATTTGCCTAATGAAGCCAGGATGAAATGTTTATTAAGGAAAGCTGATGATAGGTAACGATGCATTAATTGTCTGTGCACAACATTTAGTGTCATTTTCTAAATGAAACAATGATTTGATCTCTTGTATACTGCTGTCTATAGTGTTTCCAGTTGGGGAGGAACAGAATATAGAGGTGGCAGATTAGAAAACTGTTGAGAGCTGTCAGTATTCATCATCAACCTCCTCCCCTTCACTGTTTATGCATCTTTTTCTCCTCACCCTCCCTCCCTCCCTCCCATGTTCCAAGCCCTCGACATTAAAACACATCAGAGACATCCTGCTCTAAAGTCTGGTCTGTTAACATGCTGGGTGTGTAAAATGCTTATGCTCTGATATCACAACATGTCCCTCAGGATGTTTGTGTGGAGTAGCCAAAGGAAAGATGTTTTAAAAATGACTTTAATTCAATGTTTTTGTATATATTTTGAGCCTGTGTGGCTGAAAGTAATGACTTCATAATGTAGACAGCCACTCAAATGAACTGACTGTAAATGGAGAAAAATCAATATTAAATGAAATGCATTATGTTGCTTTTTCAGTGGAATCCTGCCAAAAATCAATCACAGTAAATCACTTGCGATACTAAGATGGATGTGAAACAATTGCAGCAGCTTCCCATAACTGCACGGCCCACATGTTGGAAGAGCATTTAGGAAAATTGAACTTCTATAAATCGCTAGTACAATCTCGTTGACGCCTTTCATCGTCGCAGACAGCTTTGTCTTTGAAATCACTCCCTCGCTCACTGAGGCTTTGGTGAGAATGACACTGAAATATTGATGATAATTATTAAGATGGACATGGATTGCAATATCTCCCCCCCTTGCTCAGAAAGATAATGGATGCTGCTTGAAGCCAAAACCACATAAAATCGTATCTCAATCAAATGAGCTTTCGGTCCTCAAGTCACCTTAAATATATCTGAATATAAAATACACAATCAACAGTCATTAACAAGATGTTCCACTTGCTCTGCGTGTGTCTGTGTAATATCTTTATATCGGATATACTGCTTTGCCACAAGTGATCAATTGCTGCCTGAATCTGCTTCAAACGCCGCATAACAAGTGTTCAGTAATTAGTTGGATGACTCCTCAGCCTCTTATGTTCTGCCAAAACTGGAAGCACTGGCATCATGTGCACAGTCTTTCATTGTTTTCCCATGATGTTGCAACGCCAAATGTCATGTATTTTCCACAACAAGATACATGTAATTTGGGAGATAGCTCTGCTGGGAGTGCATAGTGGAAATAATTGTGCAGCTGCGCAGGACAGGAAAAGGACTGTTAATAGCGTGTGCACGTGACCCACAACTGCAGTAATGAATACATAAATACTTTACCAGCACTGTGGCTGGGACATTTCAGAGGAATTGCACTAGGTGACTATCAGCATGCTATTGCTGTACACTTCACATTACATAAGCAGTATTTGAAGAAGTACTTACATGGATATAGCTATGCTACAGTTTAAAAACACTGTGTTATTAGTAAAAGTCCCAAGTAAAGTAAAAGTAATTACTTAGTTACTCTCTTACCTTCCACCACAGTCCAAAATAGGATGTGCTGATATCAGAATCAATCATCAGATTCAGAATACTTTATTAATTGTTTTTTTTATAATAGCAATAATACAAATGTATTGAAAGATTTATTTTTTATTTGATTTACAATAATTATATCATATAAGTCTATCTTTTCTAAATTAATAAGAATAAAATATACCTTTTATCTGTTTGTGTTGAACAGAACCCTACATATTCTAATTTAATTGATATTACTAGATATTTGAATGATGAAAAGGTTTATTTTTTCACAGCTCTGTCTCTCTTAAATCCAAAATAAGTTTGTTTGTAATTCTGTTAATTGCTAACACAGGATCTAACAGAGAAATGTACTGTAGTTCTTGGTCTGTTTCAAAAAACATCTCACCAAAGGACAGAACGAACCAGCTGGCTAACACTGGCACATTTACAGAAATGTTGATTCATGTGTGATGTCCTTATAAATAAAGACATGAGATGAAACTGACGTCTAATTGACCCAACACATTAATCATGTTTCTGTGTGGGATAACATGCTGTTCAGTTCTTGGATTATGAAATAACAAATTACAAGTCTCCATCTCAATACTTTTCTACATCTAATCAGGTCAGAAACGAGACAAAATCCACTGATATGCAACATGTTCTTTATTACTGGGACACTGAACAATAATACACTGCTGGTTTTTCATGTGTTGCCTTCAGCAGCTGTTTTGCTCTTATATAAAAATAGGTGTGGATGATGCTCAAGGCTGCGCTCCCTACTGCGCTCGAACACCTCAGACCACGTGACCAGCAGGCGCACAAAACCTTAACACCGCGCGCTCCCACAGCACTCTGCACCGGCTGTCTGTCCGCAGCTCACTGTAGTTCAGACTGACAGTATATCCGGGGAGTAAACCTACGATATTCCCCCCGGCATATCCTCAAAACAACAACAAATGTAATTTCCAACTGGCTTCCAGTCCTGTGTGGAGTTGCTGCAACTGTTGGGGAAGAGAGTGAAGACAACCGAATGGTTTACTCCCAGTTTTGTTTTTGTTTTGTTTCCTTTTTTTGCGTTATGAACCGAGGCAAAATGTTTGTGCTGAAAAAATCAAGGTAGGCTTCTTTCTATTTGCTGTTTTAATCGTTTTTTTAATTATCTTTGTTTAATTTATTTTTGAGTGTAATCGCCCAATTAATGAAGGGACAGCTTTAAATCAAGACTCTATATATTTTTCTTTTAAAGTATTTTTTTCGAATCTCAAGTTTAAATGTGAGCTAAATCTGTTCCTGCTTTTTAAATATGTGTTATTCCAAACCCTCAATGCAAACTTCACCGTTAATTATTAATATCATAATTACTGGTATCAAAATGTTGACGGATCATTGGACAGATTTGTGCAGTCTGTATCTGGTTTCTGCCTAGATACCTAATTAATCCAATGATTATTGAGAAGATTCAAAAGCGTAATGCCTAATGACCTGCTTTGATGAATAAGTAAGCTTGACTGTCCTACATACTTAATGCAGTGATTTCCCCTGAGGCTGCACAGGTTTGTCATCAACTGTTCAGTTTCCCACTATTGTCTGGGATGCATCTGGTCTGGAGTCAGCTGGCTGATGCACAATATCTCCCAGCATCAAATGTATTTTTCCGCTATATTAACCATTGATGATTTTTCATGTACTCAATTAATATAATAATTGAATTTAATGTGATGTATTTGGTATTTTTCAATTAAATTATTGCATTATTCATGAGATAAAATCTCCTTTTATTTCCTTCATAGATGTCCTTTTGCATGGATGTAAAGCCGTTACGCCACACTCCTCTCCACTGAGCATCTCTACAGCCACAAGGCAGCCATGAAGTTGGCTTTGCAAAGGATTGCAGGCAGCACAATGAGTACACTAACGACAGGTGTCCAGTATCTCGGCTCCAACGACGCCAGCTACGACGACACCTCCATTGACTCGACTTTAGTCAAGAACCGTTTCCATTTTGAGAAGCCTCACGCCGCCTCGATAAGTAACGCCTTCCCTGGAAATAAGGAAGTAATTATCAGCGGCCTCGCTCCCATTTTCCCCACAAATGTATCAGACTTTCTGCTGAGTAATGGCACGTCTGTGGAGAGTGGAGGGGCGGCACAGTGTGGGGAGGACTTTGTGGACAACATGGAGTGTTTTATGATTCTGACTCCCGAACAGCAGCTCGCAGTCGCCATCCTGGCTCTCACGCTGGGTACATTTACAGTGCTGGAGAACCTCATGGTGCTGGTTGTGATCCTACACTCCCAGACACTTCGGTCTCGGCCTTCCTACCACTTCATAGGCAGTCTTGCTGTGGCTGATCTGATCGGCAGTATCATATTTGTCTACAGTTTCCTGGATTTCCACGTCCTCCACAGGAAGGACAGCCCCAATATGTTCCTCTTTAAGCTGGCGGGGGTCATCGCCTCCTTCACCGCCTCTGTGGGCAGTCTGTTTCTCACTGCGATCGACCGCTACATCTCCATCCACAGGCCCATGGCGTACAAACGCATCGTCACAAAGAATAAAGCAGTCATTGCCTTCAGTGTGATGTGGACCATCTCCATCGTCTTCTCACTGCTGCCTCTGCTGGGGTGGAACTGCAAGCGTCTCAACTCTGTCTGCTCAGACATTTTCCCTCTAATCGACCAGAAGTACCTGATGTTCTGGATCGGGATGACAATGATCTTGGTCCTGTTCATCATCTACGCCTACATTTACATCCTCTGGAAGTCCCACAACCATGCTGTCCGGATGCTGAGTCGCAGCTCCCAGAGGAGTGTGATTATCTACACTGCAGAAGGGACTAAAGTACAGACGGTGAGGCCAGAGCAGGCCCGGATGGACCTCCGCCTGGCTAAAACCCTGGTTCTAATCCTAGTGGCCCTCATCATCTGCTGGGGCCCACTTCTAGCCATCATGGTGTACGACCTCTGCGGGAAGGTGAACGACTCCATCAAGACTGTGTTTGCCTTTTGCAGCATGCTCACCCTGCTCAACTCCACCGTGAACCCTGTTATCTATGCCATGAGGAGCAAGGACCTGCGCAGGGCCTTCGTCAACATCTGCCATATGTGCCGGAGAGCAACGCAGACTCTGGACAACAGCGCTGAGAGTGACTGGAACAGCAGGAGTGTGAGAAGCACGGCAGCAGGTGGGGCGGGGAAAGATGGAGCCCGCTGTGGAAAAACTCGAAAAAAAGTAGCCCAGGTTTCTGTTTCTGGAGGGACTGAGACTTCTTCAGCAGAGCCGGTCTAAAAGACAAGCTGCACTACTCTGGTACAACTGTGAAGTTATTGTAGAATATAGGAGGCGTGTGGTGCAGTGGGTTGTCCTTTGGTGTTTGGATCAGGGGGTCACAGATTCAAACCCCACTGCAGTCAGTATGTAGTTGTGTCCCTGGGCAAGAAACTTCACCCCAAATTGCTCCAGTGGGGATTGCCCACAGTATTGAGTATGTAAGTCGCTTTGGATAAAATACATGTAAGTGACATGTAATGTAATGTAATATAGTCCTGACACTACTACTGTTCTGTTACTGTGAAATGTGCCAAAAAAAGACTTAAGGTACAGAACTGAAGATCAAGTTTCTGATGACACTAAAAATCTGTAATATTTCATCCAACTGTATGGTGGAGTGTGATGATGATCTGTTATTGAGAAGTTGTTTGTTAAGTTGCACTATTCTGATTGACAATACCAATTGTATCTCATTATATTCAGTAAACCCTATAGTTATATCTACCAGAAACATGTTTTCTGCAACAACGGTTACAAGCTAAACACTCCGCTCTGTTTCTGCGGTTTGGTTGTGCATTAAGTTACAGATTTATGCTTAAAGGTAGACAAATATGTTGTTCCTTTTGGTCCTTTCTTTTTTTTTACACTACATCATAGCAATATTGTGACAGTAATGCAAGGTGAAACTGTGTATACCTTCATGCTACATGAACGTTTTAAATGAGAGCACACTGCTTGTAAATAGAATTAGCATCCCATTAGTGATTTGAAATCAGCTTTTGATGATTCTGTAAGACCATGATATTGTGAAATTTAGCTTTTGAATGTTATTTTAATGTATTTATCGTTTATTTTTTGTATTTATATTTTGCAAAGTAAAATGGTGAGTATTACCTGGAAATACAAACAGGTTTTTGATCAAATCAAAACTTAAGTCTGTAGCGATTTGGGAATGTTAGTTGCTTAACACGTGTGTTTATGAAACAGTGAAATCGTTTAGTGAGAAGCTACATTTTTGTGAAGCATTCATTGTGCAATTTCTCTGTGCAATTGTGTCTTATAACTGTGTTCAATAAATATATGACAGTTGACTATTTTTAACATAATTTTGTCCATATACCTGGTGTCTTTTTCTATATATACACTTGTACTTTACTTGAGTATTTCCATGTTTTGCTACTTACTTTTACTGCAATATATGTATTTAATAGCTTTAGTTACTTTACAGATTTGGATTAATGATTTCAAATATATACTCAACACTTAAATAAGACTTCAGTTACACCTGGAGTAAACTCACAAGCTATCCTGCTGTATACAAAGTAATTCAAACTAGCTGCACCTTTACCAGCTGTGAAAACACTTTAATGCTTCAATAATTATAATCAATACATACAGTATAATATATTATTCTAAATATTACGTAATTGTGCTTTTGGTATATTTTTATGCTAATTATGTTGTACTTTTACTTGAGTAACATTTGGAAATGCAGGACTTTTACTTTTTTATTCCTACACTCTGGTACTTCTACTTTTACTCAAGTACAAGATCTGAGTACTTCTACCAGCTTTGAATTTATGTATAGTGGTATTGTTATATTTAGAAAAAACTGTACAGCAGTTTCAGAAGGCAACATATATAATGCAGGTATAAGTACAAGTAAAGACCATTACTTGCGAACCCTTTTCTACGGCTTTGGTCTTAAAGTAGACGCTTAATAACGAGCCTCTCAACCCTGTTTTATGTGTATGGTTCACCCATAAAGGATTTTTAAATATTTTACATTGAGGCACTTTAGGGCCTTAAGAGATACAAATATTTCTCACAACGGAAACTTGAGGAAAGCGACAAAGAAATAGGCCTAATTGTGTGTGATAGTATTATGGATTTGAAAGTTAAAGCCTACTTTTTCACTTCATGTTGACCTGCTGTGTTTTTTTGTGTAACACTGCCCTCCTGTGGAGATACAAGATATAACATAAGTCCATTGTCTAGTATTTCCCCTGGAATGATTGTAGTGATGAATTAAGTAGTAGCTCACACCATTGTATGCGATGCACCTCTAATGTAGTCAAATTGTGAAACGTGAATTTCGCATTTCGTATGCTATAATTAGGATGACATTAACCTTTAATTTATCATATTTTAACGTTTCACTACATGACCCAGAATGCACTGCAGCTCAGTTCGCACGTGACGTCACGGGCAGAGAAGCCGACAGCCCCGCATGAAAAATCAAGCAGCTAGTTAGCTAGCTCCCTGTCTAACAGCAGCAGACAGTTGGCCCGCAGCCGGCTGATCGTCTCCTAAACTTTTGGGAAGCAACTTTTAGAGTAACACGAATTGTTGATCGCAGTTGGACAGACCTACTTTCCCCCTTAAGGTAAGAAACGTTTTTATTCAAATGTACACATCAGCGCAGGGTTCAACGTATGGTAGCCAAAGCTAACGTTAGCTTTGTTTTCTTTTTGATTATTGGCTAGCAAGCACAGCTATCGTTAGCTTGCTAGCAAATATTTAAAGCCTCAGCTGCGCAGTATGTTTAGCGTGTATTCCAAAGCGAAGGAAACGGCTTTTAGTGTAACAATTCACACTCTACTATGCAAGTCTTGTTAAACATTGGTCGTGGTTGGTAGTTATTTGAAACATATGATGTTAACACTTCAATATTGTCCTGTTTCGGTATTTCGCACCTCCCCTCTCTCTTTAACAAACTGAAGTCATGGCGTGTGGAGCCACCCTGAAGAGGACCATGGATTTCGATCCCCTGATGAGCCCTACGTCCCCTAAAAGACGAAGATGTATCCCCGTGGCCCCATCGTCCTCATCCTCATCCCCTAGGAAGTACCTTAGCATGGAGCCCTCGCCATTCGGGGAATCGTCGTCAAGGCTTAGTGCAGGTAATGTTACTAATGATGGCCTGTCTGCTGACCAGCCATCAGTTTGAGAGGCTTTAGCATCACGTTGAACCATACTTTAATGAACAAGACACATATATATGTATCAATGTGAAAGGGCATTTGGAATCCTAACATGACAGCTGTTTTGTCTTCCCTAACAAATACCTCACTGTCTTTTTCACTTTCTTTTGTCCCATTAGAACAAATCCTCAACAGCATCAAGCAGGAGTACAAACGCATCCAAAAGAGGAAGCATCTAGATGGAGGCTACCAACAGTCAGAGTGCTGCTATTCTCCAGAGTCCCCATCCCAGTCGTCTACTATGAATGTTTCCAGCATGCCAGGTTGGTTGAGTAACACATTGCCTACACCAGAGACCGCTCCAGAAATACCACATACATCATGATTCTCAGGGTTTTTGTTTGATTTGTACAGGAACGTCCTCTGGAGGCATTTCACCCACTAGAAAAGAACAGCCATTATTCACCCTCAGACAAGTTGGAATGATCTGTGAACGTCTGCTCAAAGAAAAGGAAGAGAAGGTGCGAGAGGAGTACGAGGAGACCATGACTTCAAAACTGGCAGGTTTGTACACATTGAGCAATTTGTTATGCCTCCAAATAACACAAATCAATCAGCAGTCCAAAACCTAATGGAGTCCAGTTTCAAATAATGACAATTCCAAGCTAGAACTAGCAACATTGTTTTTGTTCAATTGATAAGTGGACTCGTATTTGAAGCAGCTCTATAATTGTCTCACAAGTTATCATATGAAATGTATATTAATATCATAATTAACTGACTTTTCCCAAAACTTTTTTTATTTGATTTACTGTGTGTAAAGTGAACCAAGCAAAACATCCTCAAATGTGAATTTGCAACAGACATATTTTTGATATTTTTTACTTCAGCATGCCAGATTTGAATATGCGAATATTTTAATTCCTAATGACAAATACTTAAGTACTTTGTGATATCTGTACCATAGATACAGGACAAGTCTCTAAGGAATTGATCATCTCAAAGACTAATTAAGCATTACATTTATTTGTACAATACTGATTCTTATTTCCTGTCCTGTACATTTCAGAACAATATGACACCTTTGTGAAGTTCACACATGATCAGCTAATGCGACGATTCGGGGAGCAACCTGCAAGCTGTGAGTTTTTTTCATTTCATCTGAAATTATTTTCACATTCCTGGCTCACTGTAAGTGTCTTGGATCTTTTGTTTGAGCTCTGCCTTTTTGAAGTTTAAGTCACATGTCTGGTTTCTGTATTTTATTTCATCCCCCTCTTCTCCAGATGTTTCCTGAGTGTGGCCCAGAAATCTTTGCAAGACAGCCTTCTCTTGCTGCAAGCTATCACGTGATATCTCAAGAAAGAACAAGAAAAAAAAGCTCATCATTGTAAGAGATTCAGTTTAGCTAGTTTAAATGAAACTTTTCTTACTGTGCCATATTTCTGTCTTTGGGCAAAGGTTTATATGGAGCTGTTGTCAGTTGTTACCACTCTGTTAGCAACTAGGTGCTTCCTTATGTAAATTAAAAAGGACCCTATCTCTACCAGTGGCCTATGTTCTTCCTGCTGTACGTGTATCTACAGTTATCTCACTTTTGTAACGATTCCCAGCATTCCAGGCTTTGTCGCTTGTTCTTCTGTTTGTTACATGTAAATATGATAAAGCAGTGCAAGAGTTTTACTTAAGGTTTGCTGGTCAATCTGAGAGGAAGGGGAGGAAACGCAGCAGAACAGAGAGAATATGTTTGCAGATTGTCCTCTGTTCATTAATTTTTAATTTGAGCATTAAGTGGGCTAATTTGATTTTTTTTTTTTCTCCCTACCAGTGTTTTATTTATTTTGACTTGTTTTTTGCTGGTATCACTTTGAAACCAATGTACTCAATGGAAAAAACAATAAAAATCTTTTAAAGACTTCAGAATTGGTTTGAATTATTTAAGACATTGTTGTTGCACCACTTTGATTCAAACTAATATTCAATTATTTAAAAAAAGACTAAAGTGAGGTCTTTTATATGAAGCAATAATTTTTTTGAATTGGTGAATGGTTGCTCAATCTGTAGTCAACTGACTCCTAAAAAGTGTACATTCATTGAATTTAATCAACCTGATAATTGATCAAATATCACCTAACTATACTATGCCTGCAGTATAGCAACATATTGGCTCAACCCTATTAAGTTACGTTTCTAAGACACTTATTACTAATACTTCTCCTGACATCATTTGACCAGAAACAGATATAAAAAGTGTGGGTTTTCAGTCGCTACTCGCAAATATTTTATTAGAGGAAAAAATACAGTACAAAATCAAGTTAGATAAGAGCGTGAATGGAGACTGTAGCTAAAGATTTACGTGAAGTGTGTATGTGTTTAGTTAGAGTTGTGTCAGCAGCCTCCCCAGGTGATTCGAGCCACATGGTCGGTCTTCTGTTTAGTGGACTTTATGAAGCCCAGAAATTCAAGCTCGGACACAGCTCGGATGAAACGAGCGCTAGAAGAGAACAAGCTAAGGAACAACACTTATCGATTGTGGATGGAAGTCAAATCAGGGTGTTAGCATTACGTTAGTAACAGTGGCATAGTATGATGGCGGGTTAACATGTTTGTATATTCAGTTATGGAAGGATACTGTTTGACATCATCCACTTTCCCAAAACTGTCAGAGTTGGGATCGTTGCCCTCGGCACCAGACACCACAGTCGCAAAGGCCTGAAAACAAGATAAACAGGTTTTTCACCCAGGTCCGTATCTAGTCCATTCTGGGCCGATATTGGATTTTCAGATCAATAACGTGACCTATCGATCCTCTGAATCAATAAAACTTCCAACAAAGTTTGTAGGGCAAAGGTGCTGTTACTTAAAAGGTCCCTTATTATACTGTTTTTCATTAATATATAATAGGTCTCAGATATATAGAAAACATGTCTCTGAAGTGTTTGGCTCGAAACACCAAACGGATCATTGTAGCATCCCATAAACCCCTTTGTTTCAGCCCTGTTTCAAAAGTGCTGATTCTCTGTCTGTTACTTTAGATGAAAATAAGGAGCCACTCCCCACGCCCCTCTGCGAGATATTTGGTTAAAAATAACACAATAGCCGCTTTCACTGCCATTATACTGTCACGTATACTGCCCCCCGAAGTCCCGGGTAAATGGCCAGAAGCGCAGACACCTCCTCATCACTCCACCGCTCCCACGTTTCATTTTGTGTTGCCATAAGTTAGTCTCTCTCCGTTGGTGCGCTGGGCTAATGCTAATAATGCTAATGCGAGCAAATAAAATGGCGGCTTCACAAAACCTTTCGGAGTTTTACGGGGTGCGCCCAGCCAATCAGAAATCGGAACCTAGTTCTAGTTCCAGATCTTTTTGGTGTGAACGCAAAATCCCAAGAACAATCGGAACTATTCCTGGGAAAAGTACTCCGGTGTGAAAGCGCCTAATGGTTCTCTACGAGGAGATTCAGGTGATAAGGTGGCGGGTGTTACCTTGGTTGGTGATTGGCTAATGCTTACACAACCCAAAAACCTTATGACATCATAAAGTGGCCAAAATCTGATCAGTTGATTTTCAGACAGGTTTTTATATAAATGGATCAGGACAAAAAGTGAGAGAATATTTTTTTCTGAAACTTTCAGAATCCCTTTACAAAGAGGGGACACATGTTTATGTATAACAGACATGAAAAAGTGGATTTTGCATAATAAAAATTAAACTCAATTATAAGCCAAATACCAAACATATAAACTCACTTCCAGCCAGTCGAAGAGGTTGATCAGCCTGCCGCACTCCAGGTGGAGTTTGTACACGATGCAGATATCAGGAGCTGCGTTGGAGACGGACCCATCCTCAGACTTTAGGCGGTCATTCTGAAGGAAAAGCAAAGAGACCACAATGAAGCTACTCTCACCGCTTTCAGTTTCTCCTTATCTTAAGATAGTTACACACTTTGATGGAATTAAGAAGTACCTGGAGATAATAGAAGGGGCTGTTGAGCGCAGCCTGAATGGAGGTGCGCGGTGCTGCATTCAGGTGGCGTCTCACAGTGGCTGAAGAAGAGTAGTAGCAAACTTCATACAGTGTCTGAGACTCTGGGGGAGACAGGTGGCTCCTGGGAGGGAGAGCGATGTTAGTCAAATAATCATTTATACCACATTTATTACAATTTGAATTCAAGCAGAGCAGAAGGTAATACTTCTTACTGCACTAAGCTGTCGATAAATTGGAGAGCTTCATTTCGCAGAACCTCGAATGGACTCAGTTTTTTGGATCTCCGAGACTCGTTCATCTCCAGCAGGGCCTAGAAATATGTGAGAATAATTTATGGATCAAACTCATCAGAGAGGAAGAGAATTCCTTCACAGAAATGCGGTAAAGATAACATTCTTCAGAAAACCATAAAAACCTTCTGCAGCTGGAACAGATCCGTTTTCTTTGGAAGGTTTTTCACCGGGGAGGTGATACTCTCTTCAGCAGGAGGGGGGGGTTCGGCAACTACGGCTGTGAAGAACAAGACAAAATCATTTGTTGTGTATTCACTAACTACGGTAATAAGATATAAAGATATGCAAGTCTCTCCATTTGTACTACTTACTGTCCAACTGCTTGAATTTGGCGAGCATGGCTTCCAGCAGAAGAAGAGCGCTTTTCATATTCTTAGACTTGGAATGCTGCAATATCTCCGCGCACTTCTTGAGCAAAGAGATCAGCTCATCTTTAGCCAGCATCCTAGAGGGTAAGGATTGGGGTGAGGAGGTTAACAACTTCTGCTTTGTTCACAATAAAAAAGCCAGTCTCAAACAAAGGAAATTGTTCCAATGCTGTTTGACTGTATACAAATGGCTATTTGGCCACCAGGAGGAGCAATAAACATCCAAATACCATTGCATATGCTGCCATCTAGAGAATAAAATGTGTAAATAATGTTTTTTTATTAAAAAAAAAATGACATGGAATTTGGGATTATTTTTAAACAGTGGGCATGGCTCGAAAAGCCTCCTGCCTACAATGAGGATTCATGATCGTGCATGTTGGTTCTTCTGGTTGAAACACAAGTTAAATATAAAGATTTACTTCAGAAGCTTCATGGCTGATTGGTATTCCTCATTCTCCCAGACGTTCTTCTCCAGACAGATTAAATGGAGCTCTCTGATCTGTAACACAATTCCAGTTTTAGAAAACATAGAATAGAATTACCTCAACACTACAAACAAAGTTGTTTTTTCATATAGAGCAGTCATTTCTTGCCTGTTTCCCAAGCGGGTATCGAGGCAGTGATGAGGTCAGAGTGTGGAGACACCTCAGGGTGGGATAATAGTGTTTGTGGTATTTGCGAAGGTCTTTTATCAGCCTCCGGCACACCTCCTAAAAGACAGAAAAGCCTTCCATTCTGACGTGCTTCTATTACCTGCCAATGCCTCAGGTGTAGAGATAAAACAAAAATGTACCTTCAAATGAGTTTCATCTGTGAGCAGGTGCTCCTGTTCCTGAGGTTCCTGCTTTTCTATATACCTAGAAACACGCAGGGTAGACTCTATTTAAATGATTAGTTGTACATTTGAAAAAGCTCAATCAAATCCTACAACAAGGTACTAACACATGAACAAAAATGTAGTTAGCCGGTGAATAAAACTAAATGATATATGTGTGTGTTTGTGTTTGTACCTCTTGAAGGACGGCAGCTGTCTGATCCTCTCTAGGTCCCGGTGACCAAGCTGCATCACATTAAGCAGAGCCTCCTTCTTCCTACAGCACAGCACACTGAGAGGCTGAGAGTGAAAGTGCTCCAGCAGGGCCAGCTGCACCAACACAGAGCAGATAGCGTGCATATCACTTATCTAAATTACACTTACATACAAAGAGAAAACTGGTAAAAAAAATAAAAAAAATAGGATACCTGCACTCAACATCCACAAATATTAAAACAAAATACTTATTTGGGATGTTGAGTGTAGCAGTCACAAAGGATGGCTCAAACCAAACAGCCCATCTATAGATGATTGGTACGATATCATTTGTGAAATCTTTGTAATGGAAAGAATAACCTTCTCTATCGAACTTACATTTGAGGACATTTGGGAGAAGTGTATATTACCCTGATACGAGCTTCCTTTGTTTAACTGTTTGAATCTTTTATTTAATGATCTATACTCTCAATGTTTTATATTGAAAAGAAAACACCTGTTCATATTCTTGTGTGCTTATTGTCGTTGTTTTGTCAAGAAAAATAAAAAAGACGGACCATTCTGTAAAGCTATTGAACTACATATGTATATGTAGACTGAAGTTGAAATGTGATCCAAAGAAATAATTTAAAAAATGTAAATAAAACGTAGGATACACATGTTGGATAAGCTCTTAGAAGCCACTCTGTACCTGAACACCCTTGATGAAGCTTCTCACTGAGAAATCGTGGTAGAGGAAAATGCTGATCAACACCTGCATCACTTTGCCGTTGAGCTTGAAAGGAAAATGCGTTGTCAGGATCAACTGGAAACATAAACGAGACAAAATATACAATTGACTTCCTGGTCATTCATTTCAAGACAACACAGCAGCCAAATAAACAATTTGATTGAAAACAATCTGCAAAATGTTTCATGTCTTCATGTTGTATATCTGTATACTTAAAGAGATCAAATTGCAATAACGTTGTACTAACAGAACATTTGCATGTCAAAAAAGGTTGCTTGTGAACCTGCTAATGGATGAGATGCGTCAAAAACCAAACTTCCATTATTATTTATAAGATTTAAATCAAGCACATTTCATAAAAGGCTGTTTTTTCTTGTTATTTTGCTTGAATGAAAACTGTTTATACTTCTCAAAAATGAAAAGTATTTTCTGCTTCATGAACTTCAAAAACAAAACAAAAAAATCAAAACACCTGGACAAGAGTTCATTTCTTAAATGTAGAT